GCACCCAGTTTGTCTTCAGCAATTGTACTGATAGGGTGAGCATCACAGAATGCCAGTTTGTTACAACAAAGTGTTCTTGTATTGAGGGAGGGTATGAGCAGAGACCCAAAGTTTGTCCACTACCTCAATGTATTGCCATATAAATATATGTACATAGGACAATACATCTATTTTTATGGATTAATGTATTTGCATGTGTACACACCTATGCTTATATCTCTTTCCATAGCTTTGCTTCCTTGATTATTCTTCTGTTTCCTTTTTCCTTCCTCCTGCCCCACCATCACGCTTACCCTACTCCTGCCTCTTAGTACTTCCTCTCAGTCAGATCTCTGTTGCTCCAACACCCCCAGGATCTCTATGTCCTACTTGTTGGTGGTTTTAATTTCCTAGTTGTTCCCCTCTATGGTGTTGTTTGCTCACCACACCACCTTCTTCCCCCAAGTCCTTCTGGGACCATTGGTCCCATTGCTTTATCCTGGAGCTTTCTTCCCATTCCTATCTCATATAAGTAGGCAAACTAGCAATGACAAAAAAAAGATTGCACAAAGAAAGAGAAAAAACATACATAATTCCAGGTCTGTCCACTGACCTTTATGACTATTTCCCACTTCTCCTGGGGGGAATTCCAGGAGCTGCCCCTCCCAGCCTGAACTCTATTCTGAGGCCTCTATATGGGCGTTGTGGCTTGGCTTTGCTCCAGTTGCTGATCTGTTATGATCCCTTCTTGGTTTGCCCCATGCAGGGACATCATACTCTGGGCTTGGTGTACCAATATGGGGTCTAGACCAACCAGCCATCCCTTTCACTTTTACCTTCTTGGTTTGCTTCCATGTGGGCTTGGTATGCCAGCCCTCTGCCCAAACTGTGGGTTTAGTGTTGTTCTCTGTCACACATACTTCTAGGAGGGGGTCAGTTTAGCTCTGGGTGGGGCTGACCCTGTAACCCAATCTTTTCAGGCATTCCTCCAGGTGGTTATGTTTCCCTCGTGGCTTGGTGCACTGTGGTGGGGTCAGTATGTGCACTCTCAGTTCTGTGGAGACATAACCAATACTCTCCCCCTGGGTGGGTTAGTGCCCTGCTCTCCCCATGCCATCATCTCACTTTTGCCCCATCTTTGCTCCCTCCCTGTTCCCTCTTTCCCCTTCTTTGTGCTGCATTAACACTACCTCCTTGGGTTTGGTGTGACCTCCACCTGACTGCCTGTACCTCAACCCATAGAGTGTGAGACAAATGCCTTTTCTTCTATCCCTACTGTGCTGGTTATACTTACTTCAGGGGACTCATGTTGTACTTCTTTTGTGACTGACTGACTTTGCTTTAGCACAATTTCCTCCAACTCTTCCCATAAAACAATGTGCTTCATGTGATCACCAGGGTTTTTAAGTGATGCATAGTTCTCCATTGTGTGTATGTGCCAGTTTACTAATCCACCCATCTATTGATGGGAATTTAGTTTGTTTCCAATTCTTTGCAGTTGTGAATTGTGCCACAATAAACATTGGAGTGCAGATGACTGGTCATTTTTTATTCCTCATTTCTTCTGGATATACGTCCAGTAGAGGGATAGCTGAGTCATAAGGTATATCAATTTCCATTTTCTTTAAATGCCACCAGATCACTTTCCACAGAGACTGTACATGTCTACATGACCTTCAGCAGTGGAGGACAGTTCCTATCTTGGCACATCTCCTCCAACATTTGTTGCTTTCTGATTTTCTGACTTGGGCTAACTTCAAGGGTGTTAGGTGGTATCTCATGGTTGTTTTAATTAGAATTTTTCTAATGGCTAATGATCAGGAGCACTTCCTCATATGCTTATTGGTTGTACGGGTCTCCTCCCCACTGAAACTTCTTTTCAGTCCTTTTGCCCACTTCCTCAGCGCATTAACTGTTTTCTTCTTTTTGCAGGCCAGAGGGTATTGTAGATTTTTAAAATAAGCCCATTGTTGTGTCATTGCTAAAAATCCTCTCCCAGTCTGAGGTTGTCTTGTTACCTTGTTGGTGAAGTCTTTCTACAGGTGTTGTAGCCTCAGTAAATCTCCCTTGTCAATTTCAGGTTCACCTGCGTATGTACCCTTCCCTACCACAGTTAGCCTATGTATTCCCTGGGCCAATATTCTTAGGTTTGTCCCGAATCCTTCATTGATGGTCCTGAAAGTTTAGGGTTTTACTTCTAGGTCTGTGATCCACCTTGAATTTCTACTTTTGCACAAGGTGAGGTAAACATCTTGTTTCATTGTTCTACATGTGGATACCCATTGTTTTCAGCACCACTTGCTAATGAGGGCATCTGCCTCCCACTTGATGCTTTTTGAGTCCTTGTCAAAGATCAGTTGTCTATATGTTGATGGTTTTATTTCTGGGTTTTCAGTTATTTTCCATTGGTCTGAGTGTCTGTCATTATGCCAAGTACCACGCTGTTTTGACCACTGTGGCTGTGTAGTGAGTGTTGAAGTCAGGTAAAGCAAGCTCTGACTCTGTCCTTCTTCTTGAGGAGTTATCTGCTAATTCTGGGCTTCTTCCCTCTCCATATGAAATTGGTGGTCAGTTTTTCCAATTCTTTGAAGAATGTTGTTGGTATTTGAATTGAGATAGCATTAAACTTATAAAGTGCCTTGCGTAAGACTGACATGTTCACTATATTGAGTCTTCCAATCCACGTGCATGGGATATTTTTCCATTTGTGGAGGTGGCTTTTGGTTTCCTGTAGTAAGGTCTTGTGGTTTTCCTTGTATGAGTCTTTTGGTTTTTGGTTAAATATATCCCTGGATACTTAAATTTGTTCTTGGCTATTGTGAAGGGTATGCCTTCTTGATCTCCTCTTCCATGGTCTTGTCTGATGTATATAACAAACCAATAAACTTCTGTTTGTTGATCTTGTATCCTGCCACTCTTCCATATACTTTTTTTTTTTTTACAATTTTAAAAACAATTTTATTTCAGAAATTCTCAATCATATATAAAAGCAAACAAACAATGTAAGGAATTATCTAGTCACCCACTTACAATATTGTATTAGTCTAGGTACTTTAGAGAAACAAATCCACAGAAACTCATGTATAAGAGAGTTTTATGTAAAGAAAGTGTGCATCACGAAAACATCCCAACCCAATGCTGCCCAAGCCAACAAGTCCAACATTAACCCATTAACCCAACACAAGTCCACAAAGTCCTCCACCTCACAAAACAGAGGTAATGATGCCAACTGCGGGAGGAAAGCTGAGTCAGTGAACAAATAAGCATCTCAGCACTAGCAGGGGTCTCCACACGGCTGCTCCAGCACCCAGGGCTGCAATTAACTAACTCAAATATCTTCCATATTCTTATCACTGTCAGTACTCCTGTTGTGGAGTTTTGAGGATTTTCAATGTATAGAATCATGTCATTTGAAAATAGCAATAGTTTCACCTCCTCCTCTCCCAGTTGGATAACTTTAATGTCTTTCTGCTGTCTTGTGTTGTTAGTTAGGACCTCCAGCACTATGTTGAACAGAAGTGGGGACAAGGGGCAGTCTTGTCTGTGGGATTGATTTAGTCTTTTCTCCATTGACTATGATGTTGGCTGTTGGCTTTTCATAAATAGCTTATATTAACTTGAGGAATTTTCCTTCCATTTCCATCTTGAGTGTCTTAATTAGGAATGGGTGTTGGATGGTGTCAAATGCATTTTTGCATTTATCAATATTATCATTTAATTTTTATATGTTTTCTTATCAATGTGGTATATAATATTGATGGATTTTTGGATGTTAAACCATCCTTGCATCCCTGGAATGAATCCCACCTGATCATGATGGATAATATGTTTTATAAACTTTTGTATTCTATTTGCCAATATCTTGTTAAGGATCTTTGCATCTATGTTCATTAGAGATATCAGTCTGTAGTTCTCTATTCCTGTGGGATTCTTGCCCTGTTTGGGTATCAAAGTTATACTGGCTTCTTACAATGAGGTTGGGAGTTTGCCATCCTTTTCTATACCCTGGAATAATTTGTGGAGGATCGGTATCAGCTCTTCCCTGAATACTTTGTAGAATTCTCCTGTGAAGCTGCCTGGTCCAGGAGCTTTCTGGGTTGGTAGTTTCTTGATAACCATATCTATTTCTTCTCTTGACCTCCACCTTGGATAATCTAGGGAGGGTTGCTTTTCCAAGTATTTGTCTGTCCTCCACATTGTTGAATTCACTAGAATACAGACTTTCATAGTACTTTGTGATGAACCTTTAAATTTTTTAATATATTTTTCACCTAAGAATTTTTAACTTTTTCCTTTAGCCACTAGAAAGCAAATGTGTACTCTGATTATAGTAGGTGTATACTGCCTTATAATATTCACTTTTTTATTTTATTAAAAAATTTTATTACATTAAAAAAATTATTACAAAATTCAACACTATATTTTAAGATGTCTATGTGTTATTATGTGTCTCTCTATTTTATTGCTTCTGTCTGCTACTTAATATAGCATACATCTTTGTTCTTAATTTTTTTGTGTGTGTGGGGAAGTAGAGGATCCTTGTCCTTTATTAACATATCCATGTAACCTATTGGAGAGGTAGAACAGGCTATTTAAAAGTCTCAGTTGGCCTATTGTTGGCCAGAACCTTAAAGTGACATTTTATTTCATTATTCATTATCATCATAATTAAGCAATTCCAAGTGAAGGCAGTCCTTAGATGTTTAACTGCAAGCACCAGATAATGATGCCATTTCAAAACATGCACAAAATTTTCTATTTTGTTGTTTTACTACTTTGCTTATAATAAGGGTAAGTGGGAAGTTCAACTAACTGAGAAGATTTAATGTACCCCATAAATCAAATGTTTATTCTTCTGCCAATCACAACTGATTTCCATCTACAATCATTTTTCACATAAGAAACAGTTGGTCAACTGAAGAAGCAGCTGTGACTCTGAGCTATGGAACTAATGAGACTGCGCCGACTGATACTGCAGAGCATCGCGGGGAAGGTGCTCGTCACAGCAGGCCTTTAGCAGCAGTGAACGGTGCAGCTTTAGCTTGCCTTCTCCAAAAATGCCTTGCAGCACCCAAGACACTGCTGGTACACAGTCTCAAAGTCAGAGTCATTCCCATAATAGGGATCTTCAATGATAACTTGTTTTTGTGGATCATAGTTTCCATGCAGTTCAATTTTAGCTTTGCAGTTTTTAACTTGATTACCTTTTCTAGTCAGATCTCTCAGATTGCTTTCATCCATACACAGTATAAAATCAAATGTGGCAAAGTCTTCTTTAGTAATCTGCCGAGCAATGTGATTCATGGGGATACCATGCTTCTTCATGCAATTTTGCCCCCGATAATCAGGAGGGTTTCCTATTTCATATGTGGACGTTGCTGCACTGTCTATTCTCCACTTATCTAAAAGGTTTTGATCCATTACAAGTTTTCTGAACACTGCTTCTGCAATAGGTGATTGACAAATGTTACCCAGGCATACAAACAGAACGGATTTGGGGGCCTGCTCAGCCATCTTCTCTCCCACAGAGATGTACAACGTGGGACCAACCACCAGCCGGAACCTTCACGGATGCCGGCACATGCCCTATGTTCTTAATTTTTATCCCATGTAAAAGCCCAAACTATTTGCTCTCACCATTGCTTCTTTAATGATAAACTTTAAAAATAACTGTTAGCTCAATGAAAGCTTCTGATTATCTGTCAGCCTCCTTCACATCTGTAACTTTTGTCAGTTTGCTTTCCAGAATTTTCGCACCATTTACACTCTCCAAAATGCATGTGTGGGCTGCCATTACCATGCATCCTCACCAATACTTGGCATTTTCTAATTTTTTCATTCTTCTGGACATAAGGAAACAGCTCTGGTGCCTTCTAGGGCTTCTATGAATCTCTAAACCACCAAGTACTGCGCTGGACAAAAAAGGGGCTTTCTCTTCCTGTAAAGAGTTACAGTCTCAGCAATTCAGAGAAACAGGTCTCCCCTGTCCTATGGGGCCACTGTGAGTCTGAACTGACTTGATGGCATTGCGTTTTGGACAGAATGTAATGTCTTGTTTATATTTTATATATAGTACTACTACTAAGGTTGAACATTAACGTGCATACTGATTAACCATTTGGCTTTCTCCTTCTCTGAATTTTTCAAATGCATACTTTCCCCCATTTTCTCCTCTATAATTTCTTACTTTACTGAGTTACAAAGTATTTCTGTCTTTTCATTGACAACTCTGAAGTTTGTTCTTTGACCAAGTTAATGTATTTGGATATACTACAAGAAAAATTAACTTCACAGTATCAGTTGTTTTTGATTCCTTTCTTCTGAACATCTTCTATTAGAAATAAGTATTTACTATACCTAGATATTTAATTCATCTGAGTTCATAGATACAACTTTGTTCATTCTCCATATAGTGTCATACCACTACCACACAATTGCAACTCATTGTGACCTTGCAAGACAGAGTAAAACTGCCTCAAGGGGTTTCCAAGCCTGTAAATCTTCATGCAAGTAAGCTACTACATTGTTGGGTTTGAACTGCCAACCTTTTGATTAGCTCCCAAGTCCATTAACTACTGTGCAACCAGGACTCCCTCTCTATATAGTGTCATAGGTTTCCTTAAGCCAGATATTTAGCAATTCCTCCTGCCAGTACAAGATGAACATCCCTATGGCATATCACGCTTCTAACATGTTTTTAATAAGTAAGTCAACCAAATCCTTTTTGTATTCAAGGTGAGTTATATAAACAAAGAATCAGATAAGTATGTACATTGCTGGTCTTTATTTCTTCACTAGCAAAGTGGCTTTCATTATGAAACATTTTCTGACTTATACCAATTCGAGACTTGTATCTGTCTCTTTCTTATAAAGATTGTAGAACCATATGGTTGATACACATGGAAATCACTTCTTGCCATCCAGCTACCAGATGTGCAGGGTTCTTTGTTCAATTACCTCAGTTTTTCATTTGACATTATGCAACATATTGAATCAATCTTTAAAGCGAAGAATAATAAAATACTTTCTGTAAGAAATTCTGTACTTAGGAAGATTGCCTGCAAGAATACTTGGTAGGAATGATGTATTATGTATCATCTTCTTGACCAAGGAAATCTGGTCTGCAGACACAGAAGCACAGCTGAATGAGAACAGTTCTATAATCAAGATGTTATGTTGGAGGTACCCGTGTTAACTAAAGCAGAAAGATTAAATCATGGAAGAACTTCAAATACAAATTTCCAAGTCATTTTTATTTTTAGATACTCGTAGTCCATGGAAAATATATTGAACTACCACGGTGACTAAATCTACCAACGTATACAACCTTTGAAACGGAAGATTAAAACAGGCTTTATTCCTGATAAATTTACATCTGCTATAACCATGAGGGAAAACTAGATAGGCACTAATTGTAATATATGCAAATGTAGACAATCCCTATTATTTACAAAGAAGTCATGTTTCCACTGCTTTAAACAAGACACGATGGTGCATGTTCATCAAGCAGTGTTGCTCAAACTCAGGCTTTTCATTATGAAAGACAGACCAGATTTTTATGCCAATTTCCCAATAAAGAGAGAAGACAAGCACTTCTTATTCCAGTGACCAAAGATTTGAACTCTTTCTGTTAGTGCTTAATGCTTTTGTTTCATATTTAAAACACTTTTAAGTCCTTACTATATGCTAGAAACAAGGTTAGATGCCTTTCATATGTATATGTTGCTTATATACTTAGTTTTACTTTCCTATCTCCAGAGACGTGGAAGAGAGAGAACAATGGGTCGCAGACAGTGGGGATGTTTGTGTGTCAGCTCTTCAAGTGAAGGCAATGTCCTAGCATTGCGCTACAGATCTGTGATTTTTTTTTTTTTTGGAGGGGAGAGAGATTTTTGAGACCGTTATGGCCTGAAATACCTGCAAACATATTATCCCTCCCGTTTCTTTCTTTCTCTCCTTTTTAATACAGTTTCATGGTATTTCATCCACATATCCTACAATTCAATGATTCATATCAAGAATAGGTGCACAATGATCGCAACGTTCAATTCTAGAACCTTTTCTTCTCCTGGTGCTCATTATTCGTGGCATTATTGTTTAATTGTGGCAAAAAATATACATACCAAAGCGTTCTCCAATTCAACAACTACGTGTATAATTCAGTGCTATTGATTATACTCTTTGTGTTCTACAGCCATTAATGATATATTCCTCCAAATTCTTCCACCACCATTAACATAAACTCAGTGCCCCTAAGCAAATCTTCCTTCTCCACCCATGGTGACCACTGGTCAAGTTTGGTTTTCTTCTTTGCTTTTCTTCCTTTCAGTAGCTTTCTTCATATAATATTCACATACCATACACTTCCATAGTGAAATCGATTTTAAAAAGGGTTCTATATACATCATCACAATCCGTTTTAATGCTACCTACAGCGTCCCACATCCATGGTTTGATCCCCACATCCTCTCGCTCTCCCCACCGCTAATTCCACCCCTGGGTCCCTGATAAACCATTGCACCAGTTACTATCTCTGCATCCACGCCTTCTGTGCTTCATGTGATGCTTTGTGGAGCACAGTTCTATTATGACAAAGAAGGAGCTCTCGTGAGTTGGAACTGACTCGATAGCCACAGTTTTGTTTTACTCTACATGTGTTTTAAATAGGACAGCTTGCCCTTTCCCCCTACCCTTAAAGAGAACTATTTTTAAACAGGCAGTGCCATGCACTGGGGGTTGGGCTGCTAACCGCAAGGTCTGTGGTTCAAACCCACCAGTCTCTCAGTGGGAGAAAGATGAAGCTTCCTGCCCCCATAATATTTATAGCCTCAAAAACACACAAGAACAATTCTGCTCTGTCCGGGCTGGTGTCTGTGAGTCACAATCAACTCTGTGGCAATGAATACCGAGTTTTGAAGGAGCATGACATAAATTATTTATGTTGTTAATAAAAATTATATTTCTCATGTTTTTAATTTTTATTCAACTGGAGTTTTACTCTACTCATGTTTAGAAATAAAATATAAACAAATATACAAATCCTTAAGATGTTTAATTAAGGTGATGTGTTTTTTCTCTGACACAAGATATTTCTATGGCTACGGTGCGGGTCTAAGCATGTGTATGTGCCCTAACACCGACGTATAAAATCCTGCCCACATAGCACCATCTGTCAGAGGAGGACTCCACTTTCCCAACTATTTATATTGGTTCAAAAATTTTATGTATTCTAGTACAGAGGGGTATTGTTTGGTTTGGAACATATCATTAACACATTACATTTATCTTCTCAGCAGCTGGAAACTGTTAAAACTTTGAAAACCAAACTATCATAAACACAAATACTCACATTGAGGTTAGTATTGAGGGTATGCCACAAGATCTCAAATAGAGTACATTAATTTATGTTATCATGAAAATAAACACTAAAATAAGAATTGCAACTTGATCTCTGGAAATTAATCTACATCCCAGCCCCAGTTTGAAAAAATTCCATTGAGCAGTTTCGGGATATACATTTTGAAAGACACAATCTTGGTAACAGTGATTTTCAGCGAAGATGCAGAACAATGTGAGTCCCAGTCAGTGTCTTGCAATTAAATGAAAATGCAGAACCATAGGTCATATAAGAAGTCGTGCTACGAAGCTCCATGTAAGAGACCCCATCGTAGGAGAATCATTGGCAACAAGGAAATAGAAGCATGATCTATGTGGGGGTGAGTCCATTGAGAATACCGCAGGACAGATGACTGTGTCTCAGAGAACCAAACAGCTGGAGAAGATGCGCCGAAAGAAAAAACCAAGAACGACCAGATGCAGTGAGAGAAAGGCCACCAAAGGCACCGCAGGCCCATCCCCAGAGGGTGGAGGCGGTGCCCAACGCAGGCAACGGTGACTCCGCAGAGAAGCCGCGGGCAGAAGGCCGCAGATGCCTGGGCCGGAGGCTTCCTGAGAATGAGCACAACAAAGTCATTGCCATTCCGCGGTCAGTTGGCGGCAGCAGGAGTCAAGGACGTTTTCTTAGCAAAACCAATAGATATAGGAACGTTTCCATGTTTCAGTCTGATTGCTGAGCCACTGGCTCCTCAGAGAAGCTGAACTACGTGGAGAAGCACGCGGCATGGCATCAGCAGAGGCACGAACAACATCTACTGCGAATGGTTTGAGCTCTAGGGATCTTCCTGGTTTCCTGCTGGAGAACGGCTGGAGTCAACGGCAATAGCACTCTGTACATCCGTCCTTTTGTCCTGCCAGGTCACGGGAAGCCACAGAAAGCGCGCTTCGAACCTTTTTTTTTCCCCCTCCAATATCCTCAGGAACATATCCCAGAAGCTGCAGAGAATTAATTACCTTCAAAGACTGAAAATTTGCCTTGTAACTTAGAGTTAACATACGAGATTGGGGTAAAATTTCTTACTCCATCGACTGTTTTGTCACATTAACCACAATCATACATCATGTCTCCAATTTCCACACATTTGTAACGATAACTAGGTGGTGAGGACTTGTCTGTGGCCTTGCCCAGACTGATTCAGCCAGAAGAGTTGAGGCTACGGCTCTACCAGGGCCAACTGCTGGGACAAAGGCACCCTTGTAGCTAATGGCTTTTACGTCGTCGAAGATGGTTGTGTTTGTTTTATCTTTATTCTGTGTTATTGTCAAAGACAAGCATTGCTTTGTCTTTGCTATTTCATTGGGCAAGTGTTCCAACAGGCTATGGAGTGTTTTTATATCATGACTCTGAGGTCGGAGCCACATTCTTTCCACTGTTTTCTCAGTTTCCTGAATCATCACTATGAAGCCACCATGTCACTGATGATATTCAGAAGCACAGCCTCCACCTTTTACCCTGTGGGTCTGCATTTGACATCGATGACCCTCCTTCTTAAAAAAATAGTATAAGGTCCTCGGCCCCAGAAATGTTTGCTATTGCCTATAAGCAGAATATAGAAAAGGAACCGGAAATTCCGGGCCTAAATCACAGCACACTTGAGGTCCACGTGAGACAGTATCTTATATGATTCTCCATAGGATTTCTGTGGCTGTAACCTCTGTGGTAGCTAGCTCCAGGTCTTTCTTCTGTAGTGCGGCCTCATGGGGACAAAGCTCCAGCATTTGGGTTAGGAGCTGAGCACCATCTGCTTCTATTACCCACGTACTAGTACTGTGCCCGTAGTTTGATCTACATTATTGTGTTTAATCTTTACAAAAATGCTTCAAGCTACATTATTATAATCTATAAATCTTCAAAGAAAAATAAGACTGGAGGAAAAAAGCAAATATAGTTTTCCTAGATATATAATTAGTTAGTGGTGGTATTGATATTGAGAACTAGCTCTATCTTATGTCAAATCACTTACTAGCATAATTATTGGAGATAAAACAAAACCAAATAATTGAAGGTTATATTATGTACCTCTTACCATAAATTGCAATTATTTATTTAAAAAATAATATATATAATGTGTCACAAACAAAATATATTTGAGAAATGGAGGTGTATTAAAAATTAATGCCTATCAGACTCTAAGGTTTTTCGGAGCAGAAGCTGAGTTTTATTCACGTTTTTCTTAAATTTCTGATGTAGTTGGTGTTTTCCTTGAGATGAGAAAGTGAAGGTAAGCCCGCTCTCTCACCAGAGAGACTCTCAGAGAAACTTTCGGTCACTGTTACCTCTGAGGTGTCAACATCCCTGAACCAGCATGGCCAGTGTCACGTGCTCTGCCCTTTCAAGAACGGATGTCAAAAATTGAATTAGACAGTTGCTTATTTTGTTCTAACTTTGAGTGATACAGTGAAGTGGATTTTTCCCCCTGACGATTAATCGAAATCATTAGGGAGAAAGTTCCCTCACTTGGCTATTAATAATATTGATACGCAATGACCTCTAACATAGATGGCCCAAGTTCAAGGGCAGACGCAAACATTTATTTCGTGACTGAGCATCTTGGGGTCCAGGACATGTGGACTGACATTATGTAAAGATGAAAACCGAAAGGGAGCAAGAAAACCATCTTGTCTGGGTGTTCCGCTGCTGGGCTGGCTAACACGCCAACGCCATTTTCTTTATCTGTTGCAGGTGAAGACAGATGACCGAGTGGTTAAGATGGACCTGGGGTTACTCTTCCTAAGGATACGCAAAACGGATGCTGGGATCTACATCTGCCAGACCATCGAGCACAGTTTTGTCCACACTGTCCGCAGAATCACCCTGGAGGTGGTGGAAGAGGCGCGGGTGGAGGAAATGTTCCACAAAGCCTTCGAGGAGGACGGGCCGCCCCCCAAGATGCACTGCCCGGCACACAGCAGCGGCCCGCAGGGCGTCAGGCCGTGGTACAAGGAGTTCTTGCAGCTGATTGGCTACAGCAACTTCCGGCGGGTGGAAGAGTACTGTGAGAAGGTGTGGTGCACCGAGAAGAGGAGGAAAAGGCTGAAGATGTCCCCTTCCAAGTGGAAGTTCGCCAACGCCCCGGAAAGGAAGCTCCGTGCCAGGGCCGAGCACTATCGCCCGCCCAGGCACACGATGCTCTTCTAACGGGGGGAGGGGGCTTTGAAGAACTGCTCTTCGGAACCTTAGCACCTAGGGGATGTCGTCCAACTTCTTCGCATCACTTAAAGTAGGTTTCTGTAATACAGAAACGACTGTCACCGTGCTAGGATAAATTATTCTGCATACTCATTTGAATGGTGAGGCATCACGTCAAATTAATTTTTTTAAAACAAATGTCTTACTTAAGTGGTTTCATGTTATATTTATCAAAAATTACCATGACTTTAATTTGAGTACGTTGGCTGATTTTCTATGGCTATTATTATTTTACACGTGATAGACTCAAGCATATTAGCACATTGAAAAATAGAGAATTTCATAATCACAGGGGAAAATAGAGACTTTAATATATCTGCAAATGTCCTTTCACTATATTCTTACAAAATATCAAATAATTTAACGTTATCTTGTGAACTCTCTGTACTTTTGAAAAGTTGTTGTATTTTAAGCCTGGTGTTTTTACCTCTCAGGTGTGCTGTGTTTATTGTAAATCCTGAAAGGGAGAGTGTTGGTTCCCCCAAAGCTGCGCCCTTCATGAAACCTTCACCGTGAGTTCATTTCACAGACGAAAGTAGTCTTTTAATGCTTCACGCCATTGAGAAAGCCCGCAGCTGAGGTAACTTTCCACTAGCTTGTCAAAGCTTATGGAAACGAGGAGTTACAGTTAGAACTAGAAGATTTTTTGCTGCCCTCCTGTGGTAAAAAATATATTCATTCATCTTTTTTGGCCTCCAGAAAGAGTTGAAAGCAATTTCTGAGTCGATAATATATGTTTAGAGACAAAATAAAATGAAAAAAACAAAACAAAACATATATATTAATGCTTATGTCATATTATAAAGTGTCAATTATATTTATAGTTAAGTTATTATCTCCTAAGCCAGCAAGGAAGAGATTGTAGTGTTGATCAAAACGTAACCTTTAAAGCCTTCAAAACAGGATCTTTCCCAGGAATCTAAAAGATAGGCCATAAATATTTTACTTTAGGAAAAAAATATTAAATCATTTTATTCTTAGAAATCATTATTTTACCTCTCTTTTATAACAATAAATAAAACTATTTCGTGAGTGTATTTAACTCCAAACATCGTTAGATCGTTTTTACTTTGCTCTTACAGATATTACCAAAAGTTTTTATTTTGTTTGTTACCTGAAGTCGTTCCTTTTCCTTCTTTAAAATTGAACTGGTACCTTACTAAGATATAACATTTTTAGATATTTTCATTTAAATTTTAAAACTAAAAATGTGGATTATTCATGAAGACAATTATATTTATATTAAATGGTAATTTTAAATAATATATAGTACAATTTTGAAAGTTAGATTACAGGCTGCATAAGTAAGAAAGTTAAAATGTGAATAACTCGTTGTAGCTTGCAGTTTTATTCTAAATTCCACAGGCACATAAATGGTTTAAGAAAGTTTAAAAAGTTCATTCAGATAAGACCCTAAATTCCAGCAGACCTATAGAATACAATATATATTGAATATTAACATGCTGTGAAAAACTCACTTTCTATTTACTTAAAACATCTACTAATATTTCTAACAACATTAACTAAAATCAACCTCAAATGAAAGTCATGTAAAAGAAAAATCTGTAATTAATATTTGTCCAATCTGGAGAGATACAGCATAAACCTTGATTACTTAGGGTCCTTAGCAAAGTTTATGTCAAAAACACTCACAGTGAATACACACACCAGTGAAACACAGTTCATTCAGGATATTCTTCATATAACACAAGAGAAGGTAAAGCAGTCTGTTCTTCTGTGACTCATAGACGCCAATTTTGAAAGAGTATAAGGCAGCTATGGTATATGTCATTGCCATTTTAATCTCAACAACACATACAGTTAGTAATATAATAATTTTTGTTACTTTTGAACTAAAATATGAGGTAACAAGTGAAAAGGCTGAGGAAAAGAAATTATGACCTGAGCCTTAAGGATGAAGCATGCATACAAACTGTTTAAAATGATGATTGTTAACCTAAAAATACATATTTTACATTCTGGGGGAAAAATACAGCCTCCAAAAGCTTATGAAAAGTCTATTTGGAAAGAAACCTCATAAGAAAATCTTGAAGACTCAGGTCCCCGATTAAGAACCCAACCTTTTATGTGTGTCTTACTGCTTCTTGTTCATGTTAGTGGTTTGAAATAACTGGGAATGTCGATGGAAAAGGAAGAACGGCTAGAACTCAATCAATATCATTTGCAGTATTCATTTTCATTTCTCTTTCTTAGTCTTTCTGTATCTCTCTTGAAACACACACAAAAACAAATCGTTATTTTCATCCAAAAATTCAGCAACCTAAGTTTCTCTGTCCTTAAGAATCCAAAATTACCACACGAGCATGGCCCTGTCATTTGTTCTGGTGGGATTAGAATATACACTCAGAATTTCCGTTAAGAATGGTTTTGAATTTCAGCAAAAGGAACAAGAAAAACTGAATAGATTGCTTCTCTCTACCTTCAACTCAGAAGTACCCAGTTACCTGAAAGACATGGAAGGACTAAGAGTTCATGTTCAACTCAACCACATTGTCCTCAGACACAAACTCGGGACTGGAAGAAGCATGCCTTCTAGCGACAACATCTCACTTCTAGAGACACTTTTATACAGAGTTCTCTTCTGGGTTGTTCTATGTTACAGGAGAGGGCTTGTGAGAAGAACTGCCCTCTATGTTAACTGATCTATGCCTCCTCTTCACCACTAAGTGGCCCAGTGAACAGCTGAGAGAGATGGGGATTTGTCTGCAAGGAGGTTTACACGATGAAGGACTTGTTCTCGATATGCTTTTATGATGTCTCCTCTATGTCTACCGTTCCACACCTTTTATGTCCTTTCCTGGATATTCCCATGCAAAGCAACCCACTTGGAGAAACTGGGACAAAATGTAGAAATGAACACTTGATAAGCAAACAGGGAGCAGAAAGCCTTTCATCAGTAAATGGCAATTCCATATATATATATATATTGTTTTCTTTCTAAGATTAAACATTTAGGATGTTTTACTGAGTGTTTAATATGTGCTATAGGGTGTAGGATTTTATAAATCTTCAAAGTGATTATAAACACCTGTAAAAATTGTAAAATACAATAAATTGTTTTGAGTGTTGGTGTTAAGCATGAAACAACACAGTAACTGTGGCCTTTAGACATAATTCACATGGGAAAATACTTCATCCTGCTTACATATTTGAGAACCCAGGAGAAAGTGCCACAGTTGGGGTGACAAATAGGAGTCCTTATTTTGTTTTTGTTTTTTGCTATTCTGTTTGTTTTTTTCTTGCCACAAAATATCACACTGGGTTACTTTTCTATAAGAAATACTTCATTTTCCAGTCCAACAACTGTTTTATTTGAATCAGATACAATAGGCTTTCCACAAACACTCTTGATTGTAGCAATGTTATTTAAGCTGATTTGTGCCCCCCCCTACCAACACTCCACCCCACCCTTGGGTGGATAGTTTTATGTTTTTCATTATAAACTGAATGTGTTATGTTGGTGTTTAAATAGTTTCGTTATAAGCTAGAAAAAGACTACATTGGAATGCTCTTGTCTGTCTAGCCTCCTTTTGTTTGCTTGGCTGGGTCCATAAAAGCATGTGCATATTTCTTATTTTCAATGACTCTAAGCCAAGAGACTTCTTATCATCTGGTGGCAAACTACAAAGACCATTTATAATGCGTATCTTTGACTACGTAACCTGAATCTGCCACTATGCACTGCAAACATTGTCTATACTAGTATGCACAACTTCAATTTAGATGAAAAAGAAATAAATATTTGCTAAACCCCAAATGGTGTCTAAGGACTGTTTGCTAAGATTTTGCCAATTGAACTCATGTTTCATATGATATCAACCCTAAATGTGAACATCTAATGCTAGCCTAGCTCTATTTTTAAGAAGCTGGGGGGAAAATCACTTTGTTTTCCAAGTAAATTCGTGGATGCATTCTCCTAAGGGGGTGTGATGTCCATTAAGTTCATTTTCCTGCAGCACCCAGGTTCACTTACGATGCTTCTAGGACATGCAGCCAGAAATGCCTTTCAAAGCTCATCACCTACATGAGATATGGAAACCTTTAAAAACCTTTAAAATTATATACTAGCTGGGTGTTTAGGATTTCTACAAACTTCAATTCTATCGCAGTCCATTTAGATTGCTGGTTTCTCTTAAAAAAATATAAGACAGGGGAAGTTACAGAAATCAGACTTAGTGTTAAATGAATACATATTTTGGAAGTTTTGTAATAATTAGCTGTATTTTTTAAAGGAAGAGTTAGGCAGAAGCCCCAGAATAGTCTCTGAGAGAGTTATGATGCTGCGATGCCATCGATGTTGTTTACTCATATTGACAGCTTGTAATCCCAGTTTACTTTTGGTGCACTATTTGATAAATCAGTATCATTAGGTGCATATCAGTCAAGGGAGACAAGAAAAACAGTTATGGTGACTAGATATAATTCAGAGAGAACAAACGGTTCACTTATCAATTTATTCAAAAAGTATGTCCGAGATCCTGGATCAGGCACTGCACACCATGTACAGATATTAATTATCCCATTAGCTTTGTTGGTAAATGAAGGAAAATTATATTGTGTTCATTGGAAATATTCCAGATGCTTATTTTATTTTGTATGACATGAAACACGAGCAAAATTTAACTTTTGAAATATGTACTTCAAGCATTTTAATATTGTGAAAAAGTGCTTTTAATGATGAATCACACGGCTTCTCATCAAGAAGGCATTGAAAGCCTAGCTTTGATTCAGAGGAACTGTAATGAATATTTTTTTAAAAAGAGGAAATCATTTTATAGAATGAAGGATGCAAAAAGAAAGTCTAATGTCTCTGTGGACTGGAATGAAAGGAACAAAAATTCAAAGCAGTGCTAGGGGTCAGAGCCAAAAGTCCATGGCCCGGAGGCCCAGAGAAGGTAATGGTCATAGTTCTCTAGTGTTGCCCTACTAGACTGTCACACGTGGGGGGCTTTAATGAGCATGGATTTATTTTCTCACAATTTTTGAGTCTGGAATGTAGGGCAATAGGAGAAGACTCTTGCTCTTTTTCCACTGTGGAGGAAGGTCTCCTGATCAGGTTCTACACCTAGGCTCCCCCCCATTGGTGCATGCCTACTTCCTTGCTGGTTTAAACTATTCTTTAAAAGCTCAAAATAGATGGACTTAAACGACATCCTAAATTAATATTTTTCTCTTTAACATAAGAAAGAAAGTCCATCACCAAATAAGATCATAACCACTCTCAAACCCAACGTGATGCTGTCCATTTGATGCTGGTCATAGCAAATCCATAGGACAGAGTTGAGCCATCATATAGGACTTTAAAGGCTGTAATTTGGGGGAAGCCAACTAGCACATCTTTCTCCCACAGAGCAGAAGGTGGGATTACATTACAGTCCTTTGGGATAACATTCGAACACTTAACCACTGTGCCACCAGGAATCCTCCACCGCAGCTGTAAGGAATTTCAGTAAGATGTAATCCACTCCATAACAGAAACCCCAGGATCTGCACACGGAAGGTGTGCATGTGATACACATCAAGTGATGTGCCATTGGAGCCCGTTAACCGCTCATGGAGCTGCGGAGATATATAATCCTGGTACCTGCCATTGCTCGGGTCTTTGATCTAAAATGGGGCCCTCATGGTGTAGGGGTTACCCTAGTGGTTGTGTGTTGGGCTGCAATACGCCAGGTGGGCAGAGATAGAATCTGAGGGGAAAAGACAGGCCTTTCTACTACCATAGCAATCACAGTCAGGAAAACTGTCAGTTATACTATCCTCTCTGGTCGCTATGAGGCAGCATTGACTACATGGCAGTGAGCTGATATCGAGAAGCTGCATGCCTTGGGCAACAGCCTATCTCAAGTCCTTACACAGGCAGAGCGCTGCCTTCCCCCTCACTCCGATCCCTTCCCTGGGATTGCCCAAAGTGATAGACCCAAACCAGCTTAATATGGGGGTGTGCAACATCCAAATAACGTGTCATGATTTAATGGCGTTGGCAGAGGGAGGGGTATAAAAGATTAATTAACAGTCAAGAACAGCACAGAGAAAGGTAGAGGGAGTAGCTGTAAACAAAAATCACTGAAAATGAGCCTATAAAAAAACATTATAAGACAATTGAAATTGAGTTCACTTTATTTACTAAAAATAGGATTCTGGAAAATGTGTGATAAAAATGGCCTCTGAGCTGTAAGAATTGTTTGCTTTCATCATTCAAGTGAAGACCATTCGGAGAGAAGTTCAAAGGGGATGTGATTTGGTCTACGTGGGTCAGATTAGGTGTATGCGGGAGAACCAAACTGAAACCCAAATCACCGCTATTCACGGTGATCAAGTCTACTCCACCCCATCTCCAGAAAATTGCTCACACCAATTCGAAGCAGGTAAGCCCATGAGGGACCAAGTCTGTGGGCCCTGCCTCACTCAGTTTGAGGGACTGATGAGAATTGCCTTGTGCCACTTCTGCCTTGTGCCCTGTGGGTTTCAAAGGCTGCACGTTTTTATGGAACAATAAACCTCATCTTTTTCCAAGGGATCCGCCTGTGGTTTTGAACTACCGACTTAGTGTTTAACAGTTGAAATCATAACCCTTTATGCCACCCAGGTTTCCTATATGGAAGTAAAGAGACCAAAATTATACATTTAACTTTTAAGAAACAAAAATAAATGAATTAATTTACATTTCTGTAGCAATAGATAGCTCTCTAGCATCATTTTCTTCGAGTCCAATTGAAAATTTGCAGCTTTGGCTAAATAAATGAATTCACAAATGGATGGATGGATGAATAATGAATGAAAAAATAATCAGAGAGTAGCACATCATTTAGACTGAAGTTACCCCAAACCAACAAGAAGTTGCTTAAACAGAAAGAGTATTTATTCCTTCAGGTAACTTCATTCTTACTCTTTTTCTGTCCTGGGAATTTGTTTTGCCCTCAGGCAGATATGTTTACACCAACAAGTGAAAAAGTGAATACCTAAAAGCAAATTATCCTCTGAGCATCTCCCAAGGTCTCCCGAAGACTTTTAAATCAAGTGTGTCAGGCTAGGTTCTCTAGAGAAGCAAAGCCAGTGATTGATTATGTATCTCCAGAAAATTGCTCACACCAATTAGAAGAAGGTAAGCCCATGAGGGATCAAGTCTGTGGGCCCTGCCTCACTAGGTTTGAGGGACTGACAAACCAGGAATCAAGAAGATGAACTAGACAGACCACAGGTTGGTGGATGCAGAAGCAAATGAATCCAAGGTCAGCAGGTCAGGCTTGTGCCTGCAGAGTCCACTTAATCCGAGTCCCGAAGGTCTGATGACAGGCTGCTGCTGATCACGGGGTCAGTATGGTGGCCTCTTGGCTCAAGCAGAAATAACTGGAGGTTGATGAGCCAAATGCAGGGTCCAGACCCAGCAAGAAGAAAACAAGTTCCCACAGAGTCTGGCTATATACATAATAGGACACCCCAAACAGGAATGTCATGAGTAATGGGGTTGCTTCTACCCTAATCTTCTTACAACTTACTGGAAGATCAACAGCAGTTCCTATCATAGAGTTTATTACACTGTGTTAGATCCCATCATGGGGGACAAGTAAACCTTAATTGCCATGCAGCTGAGGATTCTGGCCAAGTGAAGTTGAAACAAACTTAATTATCACACTAGAATTAAGTTGTGTATTAGGGTTAAAAATTCTGATCACTAAGTTTGCAGAAGACTACCATTTACAGTTAAAGACTTAAATCCATTTTGAGTCTTACCATAGAACCAGTCTCCACTGAATTTATGTCTGACCATTAAGTCGAAAGGAAAATAACCTTGCCCCGAGGCAGAGAGCATTAGAAAATTAGTACCACTCCACTAGCTAGCCCAGGGGGAAAAGGCAGCTTCTCCATCAAGGACTTGTCCAAGTGTGTCTTTGATAGAAATTGGGGTACTATGGCTGCACAAGTATGAGTCATGTAATGACTGCCTTTGTTAGAAGGTCCTGATTCAATCTTGTAAGTTTTTCTAGTATATTGTACACATCCCAATCATGATCCCATTCCCACTTCTGGAACCTTGTCTGCAGCTGTCATATATTGATCTGCTACCAATCACGTCTTTGTGACAGTTTTCTTTACACTCCCATATCCTACTTAAGCTGTCAGTTTTATGAAAATTCTTGAAATCATTATGGCCTCATGCCAATGATTTACCTCATCCAAAGGAACTGTCTTTGCTTTGTCTTCGTCCCATTTAAGATTTCATAAGTGTGTCTATACAGAACATACTTATAGAGTAAATGTAATTTTGCTAAAGATAAGCCAACAATGATTAAAGTAGTACATTGACAAGGAGCCACCAGAGGTTCAGGCCACATTCAGAATAGGATGTAGAACAAGGGATGTCATTGCTAATATCAGAAGGATCTTGACTGAAAGCAGAGAATACCAGAAAGATATTTACTTGTGGTTTGCTGACTATGGTAAGACATTAGGACTTGTGTGGCTCCTAACACACTTTAAATGGTATTGAGAAGAATTTGAACTCCAGAGCACAGTTCTCCTGTAGAAGCAGTACGTGTATCAAGAGGTAAGTAGAATAAAGGAATACTACATGGCATTGCCAGAGCGCTCCTTAGAGGTAAGGATGGCAAGACTTTGTCTCGCATACTTTGGACATGTTGTCAGGAGAGACCAGTCCCTGGAAAAGGACATCATGTCTGGCAAAGTAGAAGGGCAACAAAGTGAGGAAGGCCCCCAACTGGATCAGCAGACACAGTGGCTACAA